TTCTCTTTCAATTGATCTTTGATTATGGAAGCTTGGGTTTGTATGGTTGATTGTTTAATCTTGAATATGAGTAGCTAAATCTTCATGCTAGGGATAAAGGATTAATGTTTTGATCTCAATTATGATTATTGTGCTTGTTGTTTATTCAATTCATGTGGGTTGATCTTGACTAGGATTTTGTGAAATTGTTTTGGAATTTTAAAAATCATTGAAGTAGTGACACTTCAATTTACAATTGTTCATCGATTGGGTTGGATTTGCTCTTGAATGATTTCATGGAATCTATTGCTTGATTGATTAAAAACCATTAAGCTATTTAATCGACTTTTGGAATCGAAAGAGAAGGAGTGTATTCTTTGTTTTTCTCGTTCTTTTACCATACAAGTGTACTAATCATATAGGTCCTTCATAATAACACATTTCACCTCTCTTAACCCTGTAGTTAAGAGTTGTTGGTGATCGCTCATCAACAATCTTGGTAAGCATTTTGAGATGAAGAGTTTGTGCCATTCACTATTTTTTGGGTCTTGAGATCTATAATTTTTCTTATGGCTTCTATTTGCCTCAAGCCAAGTATACCTATCATCTTCTTGCTCAGGCCGGACTCACTGATTGTCAAACAACTTCCACATCTCCTGATTATGATGTTCGTCTTACTCCACTTGATGGTTCTCTTCTTGAAGATCCTACATTATATAGTAAATTGTTGGGAGTTTGATCTATTTGACTGTCACTCAGCTAGATATAGCTCATATCGTTCATATTACAAGTCCTTATATAACTCATGTTGTTCATACTCTGAGTAAGTTTATGGTCGTTCCAAGAACCACTCATCAATTTGTTGTACTGCACATTCATCGTTATGTGAAGGGTACTGTATTGCATGGTTTACATTCTTGACCAGTTCTTTCTTGACCCTTAGTGGCTATTCTGATGCTGGTTGAGCTGGTGATCCCATGAGAACACCTATTGCACATCATTCGCTATGTGAAGGGTACACTATTGTGTTGTTTGCACTCATCGGCTTGTTCTTCCTTGACACTCAACAGTTATTCTAATGCGGATTGGGCGATGATCCTACCGATCATTTCTCTACTACTGGGTTATGTTTCTTTTTGAGTGATTCACTCATCTTCTGGTGCAGTAAGAAGCAAACGTGGATTTCCAAATCGAGTGTTTGATTCTACATATCGTGCTCTTGTCGATTCCACCTCAGAGCTATTGTGGCTACGTCGACTACTTGGTGATCTCGGTGCACCTCAATCATCGTGTACTGCTCTACATTGTGATAGTCAGAGTGGTATAAAAATGTCTCATAGTGATAGCTTTCATGAGCGCACAAAGCATATTGAGATTAACTCAACTTTATTTGACAACATGCTTGTATAACTTATTTCGTTCTCCTCTATGGATCAAACAGTAAATGTCTTCACGAAGTCTCTCATTTTCAGTCGCTTTTGGTTACTTCTTAGCAAACTCAAGTTGATTTCCACTATATCACTTTTAGTTGTATAGTTTATATAATATTATAATGTTGTTGTATTGTAAGCTTGGTTAAAACTCATCATCTTATATCTTTATATATGTGTATACATGTCATTCTGAATGTACAACACATAAATTCCCACAATTCTCTCCCTCGTAGTACATTAATAGCTATATCAAGAATAAAAAAATAATTTTATTTATTGCTGTAATAAAAAAGTTAATTATCTATCCATCTTATTTTTTAATAATAAAAATATATATTAATTAAATATTTATCTATCCAGACTATTATATGATACCAATAAAAAAAAATAATACAATAATATAATAATAATAATAATAATATAATTTTGAAGAAAAAAAATAATAATATAACTTTTTAAGAATGATTTTAAATTTAAAATATTTTTTTTTCCAATTTTTTAAATCAATGATAAAGCTTTTTTACTATGTACTAGCCTAGTTATTATATAATAAAAAGGAGTATTTATAATAAATTTAAAAACCTCAAGCAATGGACTTTGTTTAGTTTGGGCTAATCAAGTGTTTTTATACTATTTGATAGATTATCCTGTTATGTCAAGAAAATTTACCGGTTCTACACTAACTACAGATTCGCTCTAAAAAAAATTATAGGTGAGCTTTTCAAAAGTAATTAAGAATGATAGATATCTTGATATTAGGGATTTGTTTCCTATATATCTTAATTATTAATCATGATACATTTATATATTAATGAACACATTATCATCAAGTGTCATCACTTGTTCAAATATCACAATGCTAAAATATTATATATATAAAATGCTGGATTAAGAAAAGCATGCCTATTTGGAATTATTCTCCCAAATTAAGAAAAGCATTTGTGAATAGACTAGAAAGGATGGGTGGAAAAGATAGTTAATTATTAAAAAAAAAATAATTAAATGTAACCATGAAATGAATAAAATAAAGTGGTGGGAATTGAAATTTGAAGAAAATGAGAGGGTGGGTTTTTATATTTTAATAATTGGTGAAAAAATAGTCCACCAATGGAAAGAATATATATAAGTATAATAAGACACAATTGGAATATTATGTAATGACAACACAATCTAGTATAGCTTCTTGCATGTCCCCAAAGCTAAACCTTAGTGGGCCCAAATTTCAACAACTGTCCAATACAAAAATAATATTGATTGATAATAATAATAGGTTACTAGTACTGGTATCCATGTACAATATGAGTGTTGAGTTAATGAATATATGTGTAAAATTATTTATGTCTAATACTAAACATAACTCTAGAGCAAAAATAATATAAAAGCAACATCACGAAGCATAGATTTTCGTCATGTCAGCATTCGAAGCGTGAGAATCTACCACTTAGGCTCAACACGTTTTGAATTAATATATAGGGAGGGATATTATACTACTAGTTTTCACCTTAAAACATATGCTTTTTGGGGTCATAATAAAAAATTGGAAAATTAGGGTTGTGATAGCTCTAAGAAGATTTGCCTAGATTTGGTTGAAGACCCTTATCATTAATATATGCTTTGCTTGCATCATTTTCCACTTCCTTAAAATTTCTTTGTTTAGCTAACCACTCCCCCTTGCTAGGCCCTCATTTTTCAAAATCATTTTTAAAATTCACCTTGTAAGAAAAGCTTGGTCAAAACTTATATTATGTGTTATTCACTAATTAAATAGACTTCTAAGCATATTCATTCATTTCAGCCTGACTATGTATGGTAGACAAATAAGCTAACTTATAAGTTCTTTGTATTCAAATAAACTATGTTTGGCATGACGAGTTTTTTATTTAAAAAAAAAAAAAAAAACTTGAACTCATTTGATAAGCTTTTTTGGGTAACTTTTCAAATAAGCTCGTTGAAGTTTTTATTTCAGTTAGTTTATCAGCTAATTTTACCAAACACTTTTATCATACAAGCTAGTTTTTTAGCTATAAGTCATGAGCTATAAGAGCATCTCCAATGCTTAAATGTAGTTGTAGGAAATTACACTCTACATTAACATATTTCACAATTTATCAACCTTTAATACTCCAACGCACAATGTTATTAGAAATGTAGTGATGAGGTGGACATAATTGATGTCTACAATGTGGAGAAGAATGTGGTTCATCTATATTCACATTCACATTCTAGTCAACCAATGGAGAGTGGAGAGATAAATATTATTACCATTTTTAAAATATCTAATTATTCAATTATTTTTCTTTCATATTTATAAATTTTTAATTTTTGCCAAATAGATAATATTATGTTTGATTATATTGTCCATTGAAGATAATTTTTTAAAATTAAAGTTGTGAACCTAATAATTGTCATATGTGGTTCACAATCTATCTAATTAATTGACATTTGTCAAAAAAATATGTAATAGCAACATTTATGCATTGGAGATGCTCTAAGCTATAAACTCGAAAATTACTGATAAGCTATATGTTATTTTATCAGCCAGTTTTACCAAACATAGCAATCAACTTACATTACTGTACGTCTTCACCAGTATGGTTTAGAAATATAGAATTTTCCTTTATTCAATAGACTATTCTTATTTTATAACAACAACAACAACAACAACAACAACAATAATAATAATAATAATAATAATAATAATAATAATAATAATAATAATAATAATAATAATGCAAACTTGTTGGTTTCTTTTTCAAATAAAAAAGTCATAAAGATTATTCATTAATAAATTATATGTAGATATTTAATAAAATAAAGTAGTGCTGAATAATCAGAAATGCACAAGATTGATCAAATCCAACTGTAGGAGATGGGACTTGACACCTGAAGGATATATATTATTCATTCATATCTTTTAAATTAAATTATTAATATGTATATATATATAGGCATATATATATATATAGGCTGTGGTTAGATAATTAACAATGATACATGAATCCACTAAAATTAGTTGGTCAATCAATGTAATCTTTTTTTATAATACCAATTTTTACGTACAGTGTAGTAGATTTGTTGCAAAGCTAGATTGCATCCACATCTTTTTCTTGACTTTTTTCCATTGCCAAATGCCCTATCAATATTTAAATTTAAATATTAAAAATACTAATTTAAACATTTTTTTTTATATATTTTGGCATAGTTGTATTTAATTTACACAAGTGGGCTATAATTACACAATCTTTTATTATAATATAAAATAATCATTATAGATAATATATATTTCTTGCTTAAAATTTCACACTGAGTCCTCTTTGGTGAGGGAAAAAGTTTATGATGTATCCATTATATTAATAATTTTAATAATATTTATATCCATTATTGTTGACCTTTGCTTCTAAAGAAAATATTCTTGTTTTTTTTTTAATATATATAATTTAGTGGATATATAGTCAATAGCAAATAGTGTCTTTTTTTTTCCTATATATAAGAAGGGGACACAACATACTTTGGACATCATCACTACTTACCCAAAAATATACAAATTCTCCTCAAATACTACTTCCCATATATATAAAAAAAAAAGTGATGGAAAGAAATAGTGTACTTTCTCAAGAGAAATCCAATTCCTATGGAAACAATAAGCTCAAGTTATTTGGGGTAGAGCTCGAGCCCGATCACGATAAAATGTCAGCGCCAACGGATGGGGACGAAAGTGTCAACTCGTCTGCATCCTCCACCGTGACAGAAAAATCGGGAGCCGATGACAAGAAGTTCGAGTGCCAATATTGTTTCAAGGTGTTTGCTAATTCCCAAGCTTTAGGGGGTCACCAAAATGCTCACAAGAAGGAAAGATTGAGGAAAAAGAGGCTTCAACTTCAAGCAAGAAAGGCTAGCATGATCAATTGCTACATTCAACCCTTTTACAACACTAGTCAAGTACATAACTATAATACCTCTTTCAATTGCTATGGATCGAATAATCCTACGTGGTTTTACGATCCATATTGCAATAATCCTCGTGAATCCTCGGAGGCTCAAATTAGTTTCGGCTCAGATCGAGACGCGAACGGGCGTGATGCGTCGAGATGGTACGCTGGTGTGATCGACCATGTATCGTTTGGAGAAGATACGAGCACGTTTAGTTTGACCCATGCCAATAGGCCGATTAACGACAAAATGAGGGAGCCTAATAAACCCTACTTGTCTAGTTCAAAGAAAAGTTGTACTAAGCAAAATAATTTAGATCTTAAATTAGGGTTGAATTTGCATTCTACTATTTAAATTTTCAAACATATTAATAAACACATATATTAGAATTTTTAAATTCTTGTATTGGCAAATATATGGGGTTAATTTATTTTTATTTTTTTCTTGGAAGGGTAATCTTCTTTCTTGATTTGGGTTTCTTTTAAACCAGATTTGTAGCTCTTTTTTTACGGAGCATTTATATTATGCTGATGATAATAATGATGATAAAAAATGATTCGAAATTTGTCAGATCGTATAAGGATATATAGGTGGAGCGATTATTATTTATTATTTATTATTAAAGTAGACATTAGTTTGTTTGATTCAAAAAAGAAGGAAAATGAAAAGGCTTATAATTTATTTTATTTTTTGGAAAAATTTAAACCAACTACACTTTAGTTTGACAAAGCCCATCACACGATGATTAATCACATTGATTTATGTGTAACATTCCTAATTTCAGTTCATGTATAAGAATTAGTCAGTCCATCATTTTGTTCAAACTTATGACATATATAATTGGATGAAATGAAAACTTTTATTTCAATTTTTCAAATGCTTCTTAAAAAATTGTATTTTATTTTTATTTAGGTGACACTCTGTAGTGTGAGACTCGCTTGTTTTATATATATGCTAATAATCTTTTTATATCATCATACCATATAAGTGACTTGATAGATGGATGTCATATCGAACAAAATTGTAGCATAAAAATGATAGGGGTTGGGCCAAGGACCAAACCCAACATAAAGCCACACTGTCAAAGTTCAGCCAACAATCCAACTGTCAAGTACCAAGGACCAAAATTCACGCCTAGGCCCGTGCTTAAGGCTGCAAACGAACCGAGCAGCTCGCGAGCCGCTCGCGAGTGCTCGAATCAAAATTCGACTCGAACTCGAGTTTGTCCGAACTCGAGTCGAGTTTGAGCAGCTCGAGCACGAACTCAAGTCGAGCTTGACCCCATATTTTGCCTTGTCGAGCAACTCTAGATAATGTTAAATTACTAAAATACCGCTTATATATGTTAGCATAGGTCCTTATTGGTAATTTTACCTTTCCTCTTAAAAATTTTCAAGTCGAGCTCGAGCTTTTTGATTTCGAGTCGAGCTCGAGTTATTGTAATTTTTTATCGAGTAGAACTCTTGCCTAAAAAATCGAACTCGAGCTCAAGCAGCTAAAAAAAATCAATCATGCTCGATAAGGTCAATGCTCGACTCGGCTGGGCTCGTTTGCAGCCCTACTCGTGCCCGAGCTAGCCTGCGAGTGGGCGTATGCGTTTGAAGCCAACACCTACACTTGGTGTGTACAAATTTGCTGTTGTTGTAACCTCTACACCTTTATTTATTATAGTAAAGAAGTTATTCTCGTTTAAGATTCCAATATGGAATAAGACATTCGACCCTTTGAATCTCAAAATCAATATTTTACGTGCTCATTCATGACTATTATTAATAATTTATTTTGCACTCACTGATAATCAGTGTTTAGAAATAAATATACCACTGGCATCTACTCAGAATGTAAAATTTTATCACACAATTTAATTCAGCTCGAATTAAAATTTAGTCATAAAAAAATCAGCCAAAACCAGCTTAAACCCAAATTTATTTAATTGACTTTCTAAAACGTACCAGACAAAGTATCACCAAAATCACAAATGTCATTAAGAAGATGCTATGAACTGTGACTTTCAACATTATTATAATTTAAAAAAGAAATTATATTATATATTATATATATAACGCGTTATTAACTTTAGTGTATTTTTCTCAATTTTTTTCCCTTATAGTTGTGGACTTCTCGTGGTTATAATAATATATTTTATTTTTATCTTTCGTATACGATATTGAATCATGGGTTGATGTCATTAATGTGACGCCTGCGACCACGGAAATGCATCGACGTTGTCTAGAAGACCTTAAAAGTTTAATTTACCAGGCCTACCTTATTATTATGGGCCTATCTTTTAACTATTTCTTGTGCTCTTAATTTGTTGGGCCTAAACAAGTGTTGATCAAATTGGGGTATGTACATGTTAGAGCAAAATTGGGGAAAATTTTATAACTCCTTCTCTTTAAGACTAATATTCTACAACAGTTACCACCTATCCACAATACCAAATATACTCTAAAGTTAGACAAATTTAGAAAAACTAAAAAAAAATAAAAGAAAATGAAAAATATAAAATTATGAATTAGTTTCAGCAAAAAAACTGAAAGGCGACAATTTCTCTATCTCTCTCCCTCTTTTTTCTCTCTCTTCTTCTTTTTTCTTCTTCTTTCTCTCTCTTCCTCATTTATATCCTCTTTCTCTCTCTTCCTCATTTATATTCTCCTTTAACGTTTTTTTTTCTATCTTCAACTTTTTTCTTCTTCTTTTTTTTTTCCAACGATGAAAAATATATAAACTTTTTCTTCTTCTTCAATAAAAAAAGATTAGTCAACTGATTATAAAAATACATAACAATTCAATTAATTATAAAGCAACGTGAAATGAACAATAAAATAATAATGAAACAACAATTAAGCAACATAAAA